AAGAACCGCCGAAAATTTCGTGCAATTTAAACCAACCAAGAAAGACCGAAGAGAGTTTGTTTTTGAAACCTCGTTTACTGAAATTGCCTTCTAGGTACAAATTTACAATTTGGTCGGCGGAGAAAACGAACGAAAATAGGAAGAGAAAATTGAACAAAATTTGCGAGATTATGTGGAAAATTGAGTGAAAAATAGACGAAAAAGATGCTGCGATCATAGTTTAGACATTGGAGAGCCATGTTTATCACCTTTACAGGTCGAAAAATTTTTGAAAATATAATTTTTGATAATTTAAAAAACAATTTTTTCCCGCACTGTGCAAAAAAACTTCAATAATTTACGCACAGTGCAGCAAGAAGTAGTTTTTTCGTCTGCACAGTGCAAAAAGAAAAGCGACGCAAATCTTTTCGTTTGCACAGTGCAGAAAAAGATTTCGTAAAAATCGCACAGTGCAAACTGAAAATCGAAATTTTCGCACAGTGCGTTAAGAAAAAATAAAAAAAATATGTAAAATAAAGGCTGGTTGGTAGGTTTAAAATACGGTGTATGGAGTCATCAAGGACGAACATTTTCCATTCTAAAAAGAATTTTTTTTTTCCAAAAAAATCAAAAATCAAAAAAAATGTTGCGTCAAAAAAACTTCCTCCCGCAATTTCCAATATATACTCGTAATTGCAGGCCAAAAAACTTTCTGACGGCCGCAAATAATAAACGCCTCTAATCCCCGCGGCCCCGAACTTTCATCACCCGGAGCGCAGTTCCAAAACGGGGATCAGCTGTCAGCTTTGCAATAAACAAAACTTTCAATTTCTCGGTTGTCGGAAGCTGGGCTAAAATTCAAGTCGAGAAGCGGCCGAAAGACGGCCGTTTTACAATTAAGAAAAGAAGAGGGAAAACATACAAATTGACGGGCAAAGAGTGACGTGTTTTCACTGCCAAGCAAAAGAAACCTGTACAAAAATACAAAATAGGCAGTTGTTTACAGATTTTAAGCAATGGGGACATTTTATACGAAAAAAATATATTTGATTTTTTTCGTATAAAAAGTACCCCAAAGTAAAAAAACAGAGCAGAAAATTTACGATCTATATCTTAGCTTCTTACAATTCTTAAAAAAAATTTCACTAGGAGACATTTTATACGATAAAATAACTTTTTTATTCTTTTTTGTTTTCGTGTAAAATGTGTACAGAAATAAAGATGCTAAAACGTAAAATTTGCTAAATTGTATCACTAATGTTTTTATACCGCCTCCATGTGACATTTTACACGATAAAAATACATTTTTTTCAAAACCTTCAATTCATCGTATAAAATGTCTCCCATTGATCAAAAATATGAACGGCTAGTATTTACTCAACAATTTCACCAGTTTCCATAACAAAACAACTGAAAACCTCCAAGAATTTAGAATTTTTGATTTATTTTGGGTTGTAAAAGTCGTTAAAAGCGGCCGAAAAAGTTCGAAAAACCTCAAACAGGTGGCCAATAAATGGGTATGTGTTTTTTGAGAGGCCGCTTGTGATCAAACGGATATTAAGGATGTTTTTAGGGGCGGGGGAATCACTCATTTACGAAGTTTATGGCCAGCTTATGAGATCGTTAGGGAGAAGAAAGAGCTAATAAAAAGAATAGGAAAGGGGTAGGATGAGGTCAGAGGAGGGCTAAAATGAGCTAAAATATTTTTTTTATTATTGAAAGTTTTGAAATTTCAAAAATAATCTTGCCCGATGGGGCACGAAAATCTAAATTTCCGCACTGTGCAGTCAAAGAATCAGTTTTCACACAGTGCAAAAACAGCGATAAATCCATTGCATTTCACTGCACTGTGCGGCAAGCAAATCTAGATTTCCGCACTGTGAAGTCAAAAAAAAATTTTTCGCACGGTGCAAAAACAGCAAGAACTCGATTGCATTTCAATGCACTGTGCAATCAAGAAACAATTTTGCAAAAGCAGCGATAAATCCATTACATTTCACTGCACTGTGCGGCAAACAAATCTAGATTTCCGCACTGTGCAATCAAAAAACAATTTTTCGCACAGTGCAAAAGCAGCGACACACTCTCTGCTTCTGACCGCACAGTGCAATCCAAGCAATACTAAACTTCCGCACTGTGCAATAAATCCCAATAAATTATCGATCAAAAAATGGCAAAAATATAAAAATAACTGTCGAAAATGTCTTGGCCATTGATCCAGTAGCATTTTCCGCTTTTTTGCCTGAGGCACTTTTTTATTTTTTTTATTTTTTGAGGTGAGAAGATGAACGAGAATTGATTGGAACTGGCAGCCGTCTAACAAGCCGTTAGCTTTCAATCGCAATGATGTCATAAACCGACAAAAACCTCTTGTCGAAAAACGTAAAGAATTTCGACAAGATACGGGAACTTTTGTGGCATTTTGGTCCAAAAATTGATAGTGTAATAGCACTTTTTCTTTAAAAAATTCTGAAAATTTTGCTTCTAGTAGGTCTATTGAATCAAAAAGGCTAAATTGAATCAAATTTCGGGCATCAAAGACCGAAAATCAGGCTAAAATTGGGCCAATTGTTCATCCTGATGCCTACTATATACAATATAATTTTTTGCTTTTGACCCTGGAATTTTACAGTAAATTTCATGCCTTTTGCCTCAGGGGTTTATAAAATAGGGCCCTTAAGTCAAGAAAGGCCCCAAAATGGCAAAATATCAATAGTTTTTTGATCAAGATGTCTACTACAATATAATTTTTTGCTTCAAATCCCAAAATTTTGCAGTAAATTCCATGCATTTCGCCTCAGGGATTGGTAAAATACAGTTTTTCAACCAAGAAAAGCCCAAAAATGACTTTCAATCAACAGATTTTTGATCAAGACCAACTACAATATAATTTTTTACTTCAAACCCGAAAACTTTGAATTTAAGTATACTCTATTGGTCTCTAACGCTTACAAAACAAGAGTTTGACTCCAAAGACAGTTAAAAAAGCAATCAAATCAAAACTTTTTTGATCCAGCTACCTACTACAATATAATCTCCCCCAAAACCCGTTCAGCCCTCCCTTCCCTCGTGCTCCAAAAACCTCAAAACTCCCCATTCTCGTTTCTTGATATAGTATAGAGAGCAAGAGTGCAGTAAATAAATCCACGTAGCTTCTTCCTCCCTCGTTTTTCGGGACAATTGGAGGAAATCTTTATGGAAAACAAGTCGAATAAAAAGAAAACAAAAACACACGGGCAGGGGGAACGCTGCCCGCTCTCGATTCGCGAACCCATTAGGTTCGGCGGGGTCGGGAAGTCTTCGGTTGAGTGGAGTTTTTTGAATAAAAATTGGGGAAACCCAAGAGTTTTGTCGTAAATAATGGGTAAAAAAGGTAGAACGGATGTTACAGTACTACCCAAGATTTCTTAAAGACGTCTAAAAACATTGTAGGAGGTCTTATGGAGCTGAAAACTTAAAAAAATTTGAATTTTTTGGTTTCCCGCCATTTTTGGCATTCTGTTTCAAGCGGTGAAAATTGTAAAAAATGACAGTAAATGAGTTAGAAAGTATCTAAAAACAATTGGCAATATAAATTTCATAGTTATTTTTCAGAAATTGCTGATTTTTTATCGGAAATCGAGCCCTTTTTTGAGAATCCTGGCATTCCGTTTCAAGTGGAGAAAGCTCCAAAATAGCTTCAGAAAAGCCAAAAATGGCCAAAGACAATAAACAAATACGAGAAGCCATGCCTTTTCCAAGGAACCGGTGATTTCTTACAAGAAAATTTGAATTCCCGCGATTACTTCTGTTTTGACAAGTTCAAACGGTCCAAAAAAGAAGTTTTCTAGAAAAGAGAAACTCAGAACATCGCTTTAAATCAATTAAGGAGATAAAAACAATTAAGGAGGAACGTGAAATCGCCTTTGGAAGCTTCATAGACGGTAAAAAATCCGATTTGGCGTCCAAAATCAGCAAAAAATATTGTTTTTGAAATAAAACTGAAGTTACAGTAATTAAACGCATGCAGAGTAGGCTTTCTGGTTTTTTATAGCAACCGAAAAGCGTATCCTACAAAACTGAAGGGGTATTGCCTCCAGTCAATAGCCAAGCTCGCCTTCATATACCTCAAGTACAATATCCGAAAAGCCCATCTTATAAGTTAAAGTCTTCAAATTTTGCATCAGCTTGATGATAAATACCAATAATCACCCTAATAGAGTATTTTAGAAGCCAAAAGCCTTAGGGTATTTATCGTTATGAGCGAAAAAAATGATTTTTATCACGAAACCCCCCAAAAAATCTTATTTTCGAAATAAAATTAAATTACAGTAACCCACAAGGCCCCAAATAACTCTCTGGCTGGCCTCAGGCAACGGAGAAGCCTGCGGCACCATGCCACGTAGGTAAAGTCACCAGTCAATAGTCGAATCCGCCCTCCACGGCCGCCCAAGTACAATATGCGTTTTGTCGGCAGAAGAAACTTTTTGCGGCGTTTTTTCCCACATTTCCTGCGGCCCTTCAGTTTTTCATATTTTCGTCCGTCTTCCGTCCCCCCGGCCCCTCGCACGGCGGCGGCCTGTCCCCACCGGAATTTTCGCCGTAGATCTTTTTTTTGTGTGTGTGTTTCGTTCGGGTTTTGCGCGAAAAAACGTTAAGAAGTGTGCCAAAATCTCATCGGGGCAGCCGGAGGGGAGAAGACGAAAACGCCGCTCTTCCCCCCTTCTCCTTCCTCCTCCTCCACGGCCAATCTTTTTTTTACAATCCTCATCTCATACTTGACGAAAAACCGCGCCGAAACAAATACCCGATTCCGAAAATGAGCCAAATCTCCGAGGTTTTCGGGAATTTTTGAGCTGAACAAGTTGTGTGAAGCTCTTGGAAAGGCTCGGATTGGGGAGAGGAGAGCTGTAACGTTAATTTAGAGAGTTAGTTTCAAAATTTCGAATTTTTTTAAAATACGATATTGAGAGATAGGTTTGAAAATAAACATTGCTAACGATAAGACAAAATGGATGGGAACCTGCGTAACTCCATTTAACATGTCACTACAAGGGGTACCAATCGAGAAGGTTGAGCGTTTTGTTTATCTTGGGCAAGTAATCCAATTAAGTAGGAATCATACCTCAGAGATCTCCAAAGGAATATCTTCCGCTTGGAACTCTTATCGCAAAGTCGGTGCCCTGTTAACACATCGACTTACGGATATGAGTCTAAAAAGAAAAGTTTTCCACATGTGCATCCTGCCGATTTTGTTGTATGGCTGTGAAGCTTGGTGTCTCACTAAAGAAGCACAGTCTAAGCTAATGCGCTGTCAGCGATCGATGGAACGGAGAATGCTAGGAATATGTTTGAGAGATCATGTAAGGCATGAGGACATCCGCGCGAGGACTGGTTTAAAGGATGTATGCAAGGAGGCAAAGAAGCGGAAATGGAAGTACATGGAGAAAATGCAGCTAAGACGCGAGGAAGGAAGATGGGATCAACGACTGATGGATTGGACGCCGCCCTACAAACGACCGCTTGGACGCCCCAGACTCAGATGGACCGACGATTTTCGAAAGCACCATGGCCTGAGATGGAGAGACCTTACACTGACCAGACAATGGAATCCCGACTGATACACTCCATGATTTTACATGTGATTAGTGTGAATAAATTGAATTGAAAAAATTGAAAATTGAGATGATTTTTTTATAATATCGCACGGTACGAAAAACTTTAATGGAAAATTGTGGCCAGGTTGTAAAATAAAAACATTCACATGCTTGCAAGAAAATCTACATGAGCCTAGAAATTGGTTTGAAGCGTATTTTACAAATTTCAGCTTTCTATTGACTCAATCAAGAGTCTACTTGACAATGCACAGTGCAAAAAAAATTTGATCAAAAAATAGTTCCCAATTGTGTATGATGCAAGCTTACTGTGTTTAATATAAATTAACAAACATGAAAAAGCGTATTTTAAACATCTACCTACTTTCCGAGCCACAAAATTATCAATTTCAAGCATTTATTTCAACTGCACAGTGCAGATTTTGAAACCCAAAACTTGCACTGTGCATGAAATGGAAAAGTCGAAAATGACGTCATAAATGGAGTTGAAGTCAAGGAGCATCATATAAAAACTTTTTTTCACATTCAATACATTGTGTTATTGCACTATGCAACTCTCCGAGAAATCTGCACTGTGCAAAAAACGAAATTTTTCTTGCACGGTGCAAGAGAGCTAAAATACAAAAGCAAGAAGGGGCCAAAAAGTTTTTATCAAATGTAAAATACGCTCTTTAGAAGACTTGACATTGATTTAAAAAAATTTATAACAGAGTAAATTCGTGACTTTTTTAAAATATTGCACAGTGCGGTGGGAAAAAACTTTTGAAAGACTACGAAGATGACAAGTGCTCTAGAAAGAGCTTTGAGGTTTGACCAAAACAAGCGACATAATGAGTAGGATGGGCGAAAACGGGTAAAAATGATGCTAACGGGTGGTCTATGAGGCGAGACTTTAATTTAGGAGAGTTAATTTGGATTTTTTGATCATAAAAAATTTTATTTTCAGTTAAGAAATCTGTAAAAAGCATTTTTTAACTTCAATTCTTGAGAGAGTCGTATTTTACAAAAAAATGGAACTGGTGACATTTTATACGAAAATTTTTTTGCCAATTTTTTTTTTATGAAATTCCAAAACTTCCGTGTTAGAGATCACTGAGTTCGTACCTCATTGCCTTTTCGCTCATCTTACAGCCGTTCGGACCGTGAACGAGCTACTCAAAAACTCATAATATTAAAATACCCTCCTTCTGCTCTCTTTTCCCCCAAAATTCCTCTAACTCGTTTATCCGAAACCCTTTAAAATCGAAGTCAACAGGCCGGAAAAGACTTCAAAAATCGAAAAAATACTAAAATACGACTATAAATTTATAAAAATTAAAAAAATCCCAAAAAATCATCAAAAAACCCAATTTTTCGCTTCAAATTAGCCTGCAAGAAATCATATGCCCTGCGGGCTTGCGGAAAAAAGGAGTTTAAACGCTCCGACGCCAATTGTTATTTATTTGAAACGCGGAGGATTCCTGGACGCGCATTTCGGCCGCCGCCGGCCGTTCGCGGCCTCCGGGGAATTCCGTGTTTCGCGGGGCCCGAGGACGGCAATCTTTTTTTTTTGGTTTTCGGGATTCCGCCTTTTTTTATTTTTTTTATTCCGGCTAAGGGGAATTAGCACATAAAGCCACTTAATTCGACTGAAACAATATTGTCGCCAAAGTTTGCCGCGGCCGAAAAGAGGCTTCTTTCTTTAATTTGAGAGTGAGTTGAGGGTGTGTTTGGAATAAAAAAACATTAAAATGAAAAAATAAAAAGAAAATAAACAGTATTTATACGAAAACTAATCCGTATTTTAGCAATTTTAAGGCGTATTTTGGAATTTTCAAGCCCTTTTTATGTTTAAAAACTGGATTTTACAATTTTAAATCTGGGTCTTCCACTTTCCGGAGCGTATTTTACAAATTTGAATTCGGATTTTAGAAAATTTAATTTGCGTTTTTTAATAATTTCAAGCCGTATCTTAGGATTCGTACTTTAGAAATAACCCATGTTTCAGGATTTTTGGTATCTTCATTAAAAAATTCTCGAATTGATATATCGTATTTTACCTTTTAGAACATACTTTTTGAATTTTTTTGTTTAAAAATCAAAGTTTATTTCTATCTGATCGTATAACACGTCACCAAATGCAGCCAGATGGGCGAGCAGTCTGAAACGTCTACGTCTTGAGACCCCTTTAGGCCATAGCCTATCTTATTCGGTCCCAAAAGTCGGAGTGCTTTGCTCAGGCAAAACAAAAATTGGGAATCCGCGGAAAAAATACAACTTAGAATTTTTTGAGCGATTTTTAGTGTGATTTTGAAAAAAGAAGGCAAAAAAGCAAAGAAAAAAAGGTAAAAACAAAAATTATAACTTTCCAAGGGTTCTGAAACGTCTAAAAGATACGTTTTTTCGGGCTAACGAAGACTTATATTTACGTTCAAAAATGGCAGAAATTCGATAGTTTTTGAAATTTTATGATTAAAAAACTCAAATCCATGTAGAATTAATCCAAAAATTGGCTAAAATTGTAAAATACGAATGAACCAAGTACATATCTAAGGCCTTTGCATATCGCTGATCAAACGTCAGAAACATTATTGTGAAAAATCGGAAAATTTATCCCAAAACATCCTTTCCTCAGACACCTTTCAAACTCTTTGAGATTTTTTTGTCAAATGGATTTTTCGCCGCGAAAGAAATCGTTAAATCATCTTTTTGATGTGGCCCCACGTTCGACACCTTGAAACTTGCCAAGGAGAGAAAAATAAAAAACAAAAAAGAAAAAAGAATTCTTTATGAAACGGTCAAATTTCTTGTGTTCGTATTTTACCAAAAAATATTTTAATTCTTTTTTTATTGTGTGCTTAGATTCATATATTATAAAAAAAAGTAAACTTACAATGACTTGAAGAGGACTCGCGAAACAATCCAGCCCGCCAGTGTGTCAACCTGCTGACCGTGGAGATGGCTACAGAAGAGAGGACGGGAGGGCTGAAAGACGCCGTCTTGGATGGAAAACGGGAAGAATGGAGGAAAGTCTGGAAAAAATCAGTACTTTAATCCGCAAAAAAATAAAAAAAATGATAATAATAATAATAATAATAGTAATAATAATAATAATAATAATAATAATAATAATAATAATAATAATAATAATAATAATAATAATAATAATAATAATAATAATAATAATAATAATAATAATAATAATAATAATAAAATTATGAAAAATGACGTTTAAATACGGCAATTGCATGGTCGCTTTCAAAAAATTACATTTCGAAAATTCAAAAAAAAAAAAAAAAAATTCACAAAAAAATCCGCATTGTGCAGCCAAACGTGAGCCCCAACTTCGACTGCACAGTGCAAAAAATCAAACTGCATTGCACTGTGCAAAAACAAAAGGAATCCGGCCTTTACTGCACTGTGCAAACTTTTAAAAACGCCTCTTCATTCCGCGACGGCTGCACAGTGCAAAAAAGGAAAACAAAATTGAAATTTCATTGCACTGTGCGTACAGAAAAGAGTCTGGAAAATTAATGCACAGTGCAGATTTTTCAAATTTGACCGCACAGTGCAAAATTTGGAAAAATTCTTGGTGCGACATTTTTTTTTAAATTGCACAGTGCAAAAAAAGTAAACAATAAAACATCCTTTGCACTGTGCGGTCCAAAATAATTCCAAAACAAAACTGCACAGTGCAAAAATTTCAAACTTTTTCGAATTTTCCTGCACAGTGCAAAGTTATTTTTGACTCGGAACCTTATTTAAACCCCAAAAAGACCCTGAATTCCACGAAAAAGTAGAGAAAAATTACTAGTAACACATTCGCAGTTGGAAGTTTGAAAAAGCGTAATGTTTTTTATGGAAAATTGAATGAATACCTCTCTATTAACCAGTCAAAACGCCATGGAATATTCACACAGGTGCTAATTGAGCGAAAAATCTCTCAAAAGATTAACGCCCCCAGGGCTGGAAGTTGTTCCGTCGTTTGCATCATGAGCCGGAAAGGCGGAAAAATACAGGGGGATTAAGCGGCAAAAAATGGGTTTGTATTTGGGGATGGCCGTGCTTAAAAACCCTAAAAATTAAGTTTCGGTTTTTTTTTTTGAAAAAAAGATTTCTGCACAGTGCAAAAAATCAAAAAATTGCACTGTGCATTCTGGAAAAATTCATTGCACCGTGCGGTCAAAAAATTAAATAAGAAAAGTCGCACAGTGCAAGGCAAAAAAGTTGTCGCATTGTGCACAGTGCGGAACCGACAAAAAAGTCAACAACCAAAATTTCATTGCACTGTGCGAAAATTGTCGCCCTCCGCACAGTGCAATATTTCCATATCTGCCGCACGGTGCAAAACTCATAAACCGACTGCACTGTGCAAGATAAGCGACAAAAAAGCAACAACCATGATCCACTGCACCGTGCAAAGACCAAAATTTCATTGCACTGTGCAAAACTTATCGCCCTCCGCACAGTGCAATATTTCCATATCTGCCGCGCACGTCAAGAAATTGCGGGCATTGCAAAGGTTCTCACAGCGAAAAAAAAATTCATAAAACCTGTCATCCAAATTGCACATAACAACAATTTTTAACCTAATTTTTTTTATGGGAACTCTAGGGAGTACTACTAGTCGTACACAACTGTTTTTTATACCGCTGGTACATTCTAAATGGGTGTCATCGTGACGCATTTTCTGAACATGGTTCGAGCTAGGCTAAAAATAGTGCAAATTTCAAGGCCAACTATCAAAAAAACTGTCCCATCAAGCGGGACGGGACCGGTGTAGATACTCGAAGAACAGTTTAAGGATTTTTTTGACGTGGAGCCTATACCTCCTTCCAGTGCTCTCTGACTCGGTATCGTCGATACAAACTTTTATTTAGACGTTGTATTCTTCGCCATGGAAAACTGTCAAAATACTACGATTATGGGTATATTTTGGTTCTATTAGCTTAAGCAGCCCTCGAGCTTTCTATTGGTATCAATATCTTGTGATTTACTATTAATCTTTATGTCAAAATATTGCAAAC